ACATCCAGAGTAAAAACTATTCCCAACTAATAGAAAGCAATTCACATTAGCTACCAACTGAGAAAAGTTTAAATTAGTTTTAGAGAAATTAAAAATAATGTTAGAAAGAGAGCTCAAAAATTACTCCTCCTCTAAGAGACTGCCAGCCAATCCAATTATTTATTCACTCCAAAAAATCTAGCAATACTATGTTTAGGTTGTTGTTTCTTTTAAGATAATATAAACTGTAACCATGGTCTCAAAAGAGTGCTGAAGAAATCATGCTTTCTTCGGATCCTAAGGAAAGAAAGGCAGCACAGACAGAAATCTCACAAAGGGGTTGAGAAATACTTCCATTTTTGTTAAACTACAAAGGACTCTTGTCTTCAGGAATTTATAAACACTCAGGCTCTGACATGCAGTTTAAAGAAGCAGGGTCATTTCAATTTCATTTATTAAGATCAATGTTAGATTATTTTTTACAGAACACCTTCGGGGTTTTATCCAATTCTCCAGGACTTCATCTAATTCAAATATCTTCTGTCCTTTTCCCAATTGTGCTCATTGTCTTTAACATAATAAGAAATTACAAATTTGATATTTTCCTATGTATACTTTTTGGCTTTTTTTCCATTAATCTTCTTTATTTACAGTCCATTTTTTAAAAAAAATCATCAACTCCTTAAATCCTCCAAATACACTGCAATGATTCTCATGTTTTCCTTGCCATTTAATATATTGACAGAGCTTTTAAAAACTGCTTTTGAAAAAAAACTAACATAAAGCAAACTATTAATACTGAGCATTTATGAGTGTGGGGTTACAGGGAACTCTCTTTCTATATTATGTATTTTCATGGTATTTAAAGTTTTTTAAATAGCACATAGAATTTCCTTAATAAGCACAGAAGTTTTAGATAGTATTTTTACTATATCCATGGGCATTGCCCTTTCATTTTGAATATTCTCCCCTAAATTTAATTTGCCATAGTAAGAAAATAAGTCTTGTTACAGCAAAAGGAAAAAAGGAAGTTTCCAAGTGTTTACCAGTCAGTAGCCTCAGCTGAGTGAATTACAAAGAAGTACTAGAAACTTTTTAAAAATCATCAATAATTAAGAGTATGACTAAGATTTGAGATTGGGGTATTTTCCTCCCAGGGGAAAAATGTACAAAATCTTTGCAGTAAATCAATGTAACCCCAAAGCTTTTGGAACTGGACTTAGTTGTATTTATTTGGTTTACAGTGCTTCTTGTAGAATAATAATTAGTCACAGTGCAATTTCTGTACACCACCTCTAAAAGGCCAAGTTCAGTATAATATATGTTCAATTTATTAGATAAGACTTTAAAAGATACACAGCAAATTTAAATTCCACCAGGGCAACTGAGAGGTCCCGAATAAACCTCCTAGACTGCAGAAGAAAGTTCTATATCAAGTCTCTTCTCATTTACTTATTCTTGCCTTCTGCCAAGAGCAAACAGAGGAGCTCAATATAGCAAGGATTACAAAAGGGAAAGAATAGGAGAAAAAATACATTATATTAAACAAAAAACCCCTCTTAAACACATTTCCAAAGTTGGCATTTTGATTTCAAAGGTCTGAAATTTTATATTTACAGAGTCCTAACTGAATTTGTCACTAAATACATCAAGGCGGTACCTTGACGCCCACAGTAAAAAGTAAGCTGAAGGATTCCCAATTTCACTCACAAGTACAGTAGCCTTCTCTTAATCTGTGATATCTCTAATAAGGGGGCAGGGTCAAAAGAATGTGGCAGAAAGCAAGGAGAGCAGCAGCTGTTCTTGAACTTTTCTTAGTCAGAGAAGAGACAGAAACTGAGAAAAGTCCCAAATTGAGATTTGTTAACAAGAATTGAGGGGAAGAAAAGAGCTTTTTAAACAATACTCACTATCACCCTTTATGCTAGGCTTTTATTTCAACAAAATTCTAAAATACTAGAGCAATTTTGATATATTACCATTAGTGTAAAAACAGGGTTTTTCCTCTTAGACTGAATGGGTACTTCCAAACTGTATATACCCTCTAGCTTAAGATATTCACTTTTCTCAAAAGAGTTAAGCCTATAGAAAGTACACTCACTTTGCATAGCCTCCTTCTGGTATAAAATTTACAAAGAGTGTTTAATTAGCAGCTCTTCATTCCTGCTTGTATCACCAAATGCTCTCAACAGTTTCTCAACACATGGATAATTAAAGCATGATGAAAAAACTGTTCCATAGATTAGTAGTATATGACAGAAGATGTGGGTAACTATCCTTATGATAGTTTTACTTGGGAACTCAACAAGTAATCCATATTTGACTTGACTGTGATCAATTTTAGAACAACCTACTGAACTAACCACATTAGTGTCTACTTCCAGTAAATCACAAACACATTACCTAGAGCAGTTTCTATTTTCCCACTCATGTTACTGAATACTCTACAATACGTGCATCATAGTACTTAAGCTCCAAAATCACTCTAATATGCAGGTATCACAATATTCACAATTTACACAGTGATGTCACAGATTATTTAGATTTTAACTGATAGTTGACCTAATACTAGAAAAACTATCCATTTGCTAGATTCTTATTGTTAATAATATAATTATTTTTGACTTTCTAAAACACATTAAAATACAATTTTTTTCAAAGCATTTGAAAATAATTCACCAAGTTGTTTTTCTATCTCCAAAAGATGTGGGAAAAAAATCAGGCAAAGAAATTAAAATTGTATATAATAACTAGGGCTAGAATTCAAGTGCTGCCTGTGTTGCCCAATCCCAGTCTCGTGATAAGAACACAAAAGACTCAGAGAGAGTGGACTGATAGTTGCCAGAGGGGAGGGGGTTTGGAGGACTGGGTGAAAGAGGTGAAGGAACTAGTAACTACAAATTGGTAGTTACAAAATAGTCCCAGGGATATAAAGTACAGCAGAGGGAATATAATCAGTAATATTGTGATAACTATGCATTATGGTGCCAGTTGAGCACTGGAAATATTGAGGAGAACGCTATGTAAAGTATATGATTGTCTAAACACTAAACTGTTCACCTGAAACCAATACAAAATAAAACTGAAAGGAAAAGAAAGAACACAAAAGACTCAAAATATAGTGGTGCTCTCTAAAGATTTTGATGAAAATATGGCTGCAGGTCAAATTACATTTTTAGAAATACATCCACTAAATATATAGTAAAAATTTGATATAGTTATTTTATGGTATGGATGTCAGTCATGTCCTGTCACTACCACTTTTTCTTTCTGTAAGGTTTTCTAAAAACTGATGACAGGTAAGAAAGGGAGAGCGGGACAGGGGAGAGCAACAGGGAAAAGGGCGGGGCAACTGTAACTGAACAACAATAAAAAAAGTCAACAATCCATGGTATAGGTGAAAATAACCTACATGTCATGCCACCTCAAGCCTCAGCCTACTCTTACGACCAGTTCCCAGAGAACATTCTCCCGCATTCTTAACATAAACTTCAAGTTCACCTCTATTGTCTTAAGCCATCTATGGCACCAACATGCTGTTCTTATCCTTCCTATTTCTGTCTTCTTGGCATACGAGTCTTTTGGTAAGTGTCTGCTGTAAACTTTGTGAGTGCACTACCCTTAAATCCTGCCAAAGCCTGCCAAATAGAACTCACTGATCATTCACTTTATTAAAGGAGACTGACAGTGACCAGTGGGGAGAAGGAAGGGGGATAATGGTGGTAAGAAGAGGAAGAACTAGTTGGAAAACATGTACGAATGACCCATGGACATGGACAGCAGTGTGGGAACTGACTGTGGGAGCAGGGCAAGGGCTGGGCAAAGGAGGGCAAAGGGGGAAAAATTGGGACAACTGTAATAGAATAACAATTTTTTAAAAAGTGTTCCTTTAAAGGAAACCTATGCTAAACTACTTAGCTCCTTTGGTATATTTTTTAAGTAATCCAACTTATAAAAATGTGATTGAAAATAAAAATCTCAGGTATATTGCACTTGTATGAAGCATTCTAAATTAAGACAAATATAGTTCTTTCTTATAACTGCATAAGCCTGTTCTGTCAACCACAGTTTACATTCAATACCATTCTGTCCCAGTTTCAGATGTACAACAAAGTGGAAGCATAGTTCTTTACAGAGTTTGATAAATCTTTGAGCTCTAAAGTCCTTTACATAAACAAGTTATTTGCATCAATATTTTTAGAGAGATACATGTCTGAGTGCTGTCATCTTAATGACCATATTTGTATTTATTTCATTAATGGCAAATGTAAATTTCACAGTATTTAAACTAGTCATGGGAGTATCTCCAAGCAACCAGAAATAACCCTGTACTAAGAAAGAGAAAATATTTGGTGAGTTGATTTGATATATTTTACTCTGTGATCCCCTGATATTCAAAGTGCCTTGTGCAGCATCTCCAGAAGACTACATTTGCACATAAAATCATACAAACAGAAATTACTGAGTATCTACTGTGTGTCAGAATCTGTGCTGTGCCTAGGTATTCAGTAAAATACAGAGTCTGTGTACACAGCTGTATTTTTGCACTATTCCCTTGATATTTCCATAGTCAACACAAGAGTACAAATTTTAGCACAGTAGTGAGCATATAGTAAGTGCCAAATATACACTTACTTGACTGATATTAAAATACCAAAATTCATTTGAAACTAATAATTTTAGTTGATCCCATTCTTGCCCACCCCTCCCACCCTTATACTGTGGGATTAGCAGACAATATGTCCCAAAGCAAAAAAGAATTTCCATATTCTTCATGAAGATACAAAGGAAGAATGGGAAGGGAGCATGCTCTTATGTTATATTAAGAGTATAATACATTTTTCTATCACTGGCAACATGTAAGAATAATAAACAATACATGTTAAAGAAGTAAATAAATTTAGCATGTTGGCTTTTGAAGTCAGAGAATGTCTGAACTGCCAAAACACCATACAATAAGTATTAACTAAACTTTATGATAATATTCTTGAATTTACATTTATTATTTTTGTTTATATTACCTAAGCCAGAAACAACCTTCTTCATATTTATGCAGCATGTGGGATTCTACTCCAAAGTTGTAACAGAGAACAAGAAGATAGTTGACCTGCAATAGAAAAAATAGGTCAGATTCATGATTTATTTAACACTAAAATATCTAGTCTATAGCCATAACATCCTGAATGTGTCTCATCTCATCTTAACATTAAAATATCTATACAGCCCTGACTGGCATGGCTCAGTGGGCTGCATGTCATCCTGCAAACTGAAAGCTCGTTGGTTCAATTCATGGTCAGGGAACATGCTGGAGTTGCGCAGGCCAGGTCCCTGGTTGGGGGCACATGTGAGCAACTGATCAATGTTTCTATAGCACATCAATGTTTCTCTCCCTCTCTTTCTCCCTTCCTCACACTCTAAAAATAAATAAATAATCATTAAAGAAATATCTATAGAGATTACACTGAGCTTTTGGTAAAGATGGCAGTAAAGGTAAATGCAGTACTGGCATCCTTCAACAACCATATTAAAATTATAATTTAACTGCAGAACAAGCATCATGCAGAATCACCTGAAAACTAGCTGAACAGAAGTCCTATAACTAGAGGTATACAAAAGAAGCCACACTGAAACTGGTGGGTGGGGCAGAGTCATGAACAGGCTGGTCCTACAGCCACATGTGACAGTTAGAAATTGTGAGGACCATCTCGGCTGCTGAGGTCCTCCTAGAGGAGGAAGGCACCCCAGCCGCACTCAGGCCCTCCAGCCCAGGGTTCCAGTGCCAGGAAGAGAACTCCCCATATATTTTGGCTGTGAAAACCAGTGGGGATTCCTTTGCTTAGTCCTCCCCCAACAGAGCCAGAAGGCAGGCACACTACCTGCATCTCCATCAACCTGGCTAACACTGTTCACATAGCCCTTGTAATTCCCTGACACCTCACCCCACTCAACCTTCAGGCTCTCCTGAGCCGTTTCCAGTGGCTTTTCCGTACAAACAGTCTCTGTACTGGCTCATGCTGCAGACTTTCCTAAAATCTCTCAAAGGTCCAAAACCCCAAACAATAGCATCTGGCCTCAGTGTTACCCATACACTTGCTAAGCAGCCCCAAGCCCAGCATTAGTGATAGACAGCCTTAGTTTGTAGCTTAGCTTCTCCTGGGCACCTCCAAGTACAGCACAAGTGGCAGCCTTCTGCATATCACTCTGTAGCTCATGTCAGGTAGTTCCAGGCAGGGAACAGGTCGTGGCTGATCTTGGAAGGTGTCAGAGCCAGCATACCTGGTAGAGAGCTTCAGACCATGCCAGAGAACCACCACACCATCTCCACAAGAGATACACTCAAGGGACAAATTCAGTGGGCACCAGAGTCTCACTGAAGGGTCAGCACCTGCATATCTGCTGCAGTCAGGGCCAGTCCTCACAACCCATCGATCTTGGGGAAAATCCCTCTCATTGACATGCCAATAGCAATCAAGGCTCAACTACAAGAGCAGTGTCCACACAGGCCACGTGGAGGAACACACCTGGAATGCCCAGCTCAGGTGACTGAGGAGGCTGTGCCCTTGGACCCTACAGAACACCTACTGCATATGGCCACTCTACCGTGACTGGGAGAAATAGCAGCTCTACCTAATACAGAGAAATGAGCACAGGGAGGCAAAAAAAAAAAAAAAAGAGGAGACAAAGAAACATCCCAAATGAAAGAACACAACAAAACTCAAGAAAAAAAAAACTAAATAAAATGGAGAAAAACAATCTACCAGATGTACACTTCAAAAACACTGGTTATAAGGATGCTAAGGGAACTTAGGGGAAGAGTAGAGGGACAGTGAAAACTTCAACAAAGAGACAGGAAACATAAAAATGGAGACAGAAAACATAAAAGTTAGAAATAAAGAATATAGTAACTGAAATGAAGACTATGTTACAGGGGATCAACAGTAGAGTAGATTAAGCAGAGGATCAAATCTGTGATTTAGAAAATAAGGAAGCAGAAAACAATCAGAACAGCAAAAAGAAAAAAAAGAACCTAAAAACTGAGGATAGTTTAAGTAGCCTCTGGAAAAACTTCAAGAATACCAACGTGTGCATCATGGGAGTGCCAAAAGGCGAAGGAAGAGAGCAAGAAATTGAAAACCTATTTGAAAAAAAAAAATAATGAAAAATTTCCCTAACCTGGTGAAGGAAATAGACACACAAGTGGAAGAAGCACAGAGTCCCAAACAAGATGAACCCAAAGAGGCCCACACAAAAACATGTCATAATTAAAATGCCAAAGGTAAAGGACAAAGAATCTTAAAAGCAGCAAGAGAAAAGCAGTTAGTTACCCACAAAGGAGCTGCCATTAGACTGCCAGCTGATTTCTCAACAGAAACTTTGCAGGCTAGAAGGGACTGGCAAGAAGTATTCAAAGTGATGAAAAGCAGGAACCTATAGCCAAGACTGCTCTACCCAGCAAAGCTATCATTTAGAATGTAAGGACAGATAAAGAACTTCCCAGACAAGAAAAAGCTAAAGGAATTTATCACCACCAAACCAATATTACAATAAATGTGAGAGGATCATCTTTAAGAAAAAGGAAAAAACATTAAAAATATGAATAATAAGCCCTAGTCAGGTGGTTCAGCTTGTCGGAGAGTCATCCCATACACCAAAAGGTTGTGGGTTTGATACCCAGTCAGGGCACATGCCTAGGTTGCAGGTTTGATCCCTGGTTGGGGTGCACACAGGAGACAATCAATTGATGTTTCTCTTTCATATCATTGTTTTTTTTTTCCTCTCTCCCTCCTTTCCTTCATCCATTCCTCTCTTCTCTCTCCCTTCCTCTCTTTCTAAAATCAATAAACATATTCTCAGGTGAGGATTAAAAAATATATGACTAATAAAATGGCAATAAATACATATCTATCAATAATTACTTGAAATGCAAATGGATTAAATGCTCCAATCAAAAGACAGTAGCTGAATGGATAACAAAACAAGACCTGGGGGGGGAGGCAGAGACAAATGTATTTTAAAAGTAAATAAATTTAAAAAATAAATAAATAAATTAAAAAAAAAACAAAAAAAACAAAAACACAAGACCTTTACATATGCTATACAGGAGACTCACTTCAGATCAAAAGACAGAGACCGAAAGGAAAGGTATGGGAAAAGATATTCATGAAAATGAAAATGAAAAAAAGAGCTGGGGTAGCAATAATACTTATACTAGACAAAACAGACTTCAAAATAAAAGCTATAACAAGAGACATGAAGGATCCAGCAATTTCACTTCTAGGCATTCATCTGAAGAAATCCAAAACACTATATTGAAAACACACATGCATCCCTATGTTCACTGCAGCACTATCTACAATAGCCAAGATATGGAAGCAACCTAAGTGTCCATCAATAAATGAGTGGATAAGTAAGTGGTATGCAGCGAAATATGACTCAGCCATTAAAAAGAACGAAATCTTGCCATCTGTAACAACATTGATGGACCTAGAGTATGTTTTGCTGAGTGAAATACGTCAGACAGAGGAAGGCAAATGCCATATGATTTCACTTATATGTGGAATCAAAATAGAAAATAAACAAATAAGCAGACCAGAAACTGACTTGTAAATACAGAGAACATTTTGACAGTTGCTAGATGGGAGGAAGCTTGCGGGGATGGGAGAAATAGGTGAAGGGATTAAGAAGCACAAATTCGTTGTTACAAAATAGTCATGGGGATGTAAAGTGAAGCATAGGGAATATAGTCAATAATGCAATAACTATGTATGGCATCAGATGGGCACTAGATTTATCTGGGTGATCACTTCGTAAGTTATATAAATGTGTAATCACTGGGTTGTACTCCTAAAACTAATATAATATTGTGCATTGACTTTAACTAAAAAATTTAAAAATATTAATTAAAAAAGATGATGAATGGAGAATCAAGATGTCAGAGGAGCGAGTAGAAGTCACACTGACCTCCTCCCAGGACCAACCTGGAATTACAACTAAATTGTGGAGAAATCACCCGGAACAAACAACTGAACAAGAGCGAGAGAGGTGCAGAAGAATCGGCTTTAGCGCAGTCTAAGTGGTAAGGAGTGCAGTACAGACTCGAGAAGGTGGGTGGGGCACCCACAGGTGGCAGCACCAGAAGGATATTGAAACGGCCAGTTGGATCCCCCTGAGAAGAGAGGGGTCTAAACCAAAAGCGGGGATCTCTAGCCCACAGCACCCGAGCCCAAAAAGTACACAGAAAACAGCCAGCTGTGCAAAGTGGCAGGGTTGCTCTCTGCCAGAGACAGGCGGCTGGAGACCCAAAGAGTAGTTTAAAGGGCCAACACATAAATTTTTATTTGCAGCCACTTACCCTGGTCTCCGGCAAAGGTGGGGATAGAGTGGGCTAGAGATGCCTGAGAAGAGACTGGGGAAGGAGGCTTTGGGGAGAGAACTGAGAGAGTAGCTGGCGGGATCTCGGTGCTGACTCTTCCCCCATGTGGCAGCAGCCATCTTGCTGAGGCAGAGACCATGCCCCCTGAGCAGCACCAGTGTCAAAGGACCCAACAGCCCCGCCCCCAGGTGGGATTCCACCCCGCCCTGAGCTGTCTAAGCCAGCCTGCTGAGTGCAGAGTGAATTGATTAACAGCTGAAGGAGACAGCCACAGAGAGTAGATTACTAGAAGTCTCAAACACACTGCCTAAGGTCAGACAGGGTCAACATCGGACATCATCAGAGGCAGATCCAGAAAGCAAAAACAGAGGTCTCCATCCATAGAGGTTCACACCACAAAGTCAGGAAATCAAGACAGATCAACTTAAGAAGCAGAAGCAAAAGAGAAGAGTCTCACAAATAATGAGAAGACAAAGAAATACGCCCCACTCGAAGGGAAAGGAGGAATCCCCAGAAAGAGAACTAAATGAAATAGAGGCAAGTAAACTATCAGATATTGAGTTCCAAACAACAGTTCTAAGGAAGCTCAATGAGCTCAGTGAGCTCAGAGAGAATTACCAAAAACTACAGGGAAACTATGAGGAACTTACTGCAAACTATATCACCATGAAAAAGGACAAAGAAACTAACAATAAGAAGCAATAGGAAATGAAGAATACAATTTCTGAATTGAA